TTATATCTAGTTTTCTCATGTGATTTAATACAGACAGTTTTCCCATTGACTATTTGAGGCAATCTTGTTGAGAACCAGTTGACTTTACACTCATGTATTTATTTATGGACTTCTTCTATTCCATTCATCATATAGTTATTTGAGTCCAGTACCATACTGTTTAAATTTGTCAGTTTGTAATATATGTTGAACTCAGGAAGTATAATGCTTTGAAGTTTGTTTTTTTTTCCTCAAGATTGTTTTGGCTATTTGTGTTTCTTTATAATTCCATGTGACTTTCAGGTTTTTTTCCCCTATTTTTGTTAGAAATGCCATTGGAATTTTGATAGGAACAATTTGAATTCTGTGTGTGTGTGTGTGTGTGTGTACAGGCACATGCATGCCACATGTACTAGTGCTGGGACTTGAACTCAGAACTGGTCACTGTCCCTGAGCTTTTTCATTCAAGGCTGGTGCTCAACTACCTGAGCCACACCTCCATTTCTGGCTTTTTGGTGGTTAATTGGAGATGCGAATCTTGCAGATTTTGCTGCCCAGGCTAACTTGAACCTTCAGCCTCAGATCTTGGCCCTCTTTGTAGCTAGGATTCCAGATGTGAGCCACTGGCACCTGGCAACAACTTGAATCTTTAAATCTCTTTGGGTAGTATGGACATTTTAACAACAGGAAGTCTTCCCATTCATGACCATACATGACTTTCCACTTATTTGATGACTCTTTCTTTCATTATTGTTTTTCAGTTTTCAATGTTTAAGTTTTTACCTCTTTGGCTAAATTTATTCTCAAGTATTTTATTTCTTATGCTCTGGTAAATAGGATTATTAATTTCTTTTTTCAGGTAGCTTGTTGTTAATTGTGTTGATTTTATATATATATATATATATTCTCCAATTTTACTGAATTCCTTTTAACAAGATTTTTGTTTTGTGGAAACTAGGAATTTGTACGTCTTGTCATCTGCAAACAGGCATAATTTTATGTCTTTCTGATATTTTTTTCCTTGCCTAATCTTTCACAGTGGAACATCTGTACCATACAGAATAGAAGGGCAAGAGTGGGCACCACTTGGTCACTGTGTATGGTTCCTTTAGTATGCTCTTGATTCAACTTGATAGTATTGAAAATTTTTTTTGTATCTACCATTATCAGGGATACTGGCCTGCATTTTCCTTGGTGTTAAATGAAAAACCTCAGTGTTTGTTCTCAATACTAGCTGTGGGCTTTTCATATAAGACCTTCTTGTGGGGCGGGGGGAGGATGGGAAGGGATGGGAAAGGGAAACAAAAGGAGGCTACAATGCTTGATAAGAAATGTACTCATTATCTTGCCCATGTAATTGTAACCTCTCTGTACAGTATTTTCACAATAAAAAAAGAAAGCTTCTCTAGTAGAAGAAGACGAAAAAAAAGACCTTTTTTTTTTTTCAAAGTTGATATTAAAGAAGCAACTTTATTGAGAAGGTTCCTACACTGACCGGCCAGGGCCGCAGCACAGGCTCGGGAGCTGATACTGCGACCTAAAAAAGACCTTCTTGTTACATAAATTTCCTTTTGTTTCTATTTTGCTGAGAATTTTTATCATGAAATAATGTTGAATTTTGAAAAATGTTCTTTTGCATTTATGTTGATGACCATACGATTTTTATTAATTCCTTGTTCTTGTAGTGCTAAGGATGGAACATAGGGCCTTATGCATGCTAAAGAAGCACTCTACCAGTGAGCTGTATCTACAGCCCTCTAACTCACCTTTTTTTTTTTGGTCTGGTCGTGGGGCCTGAACTCTGGGCCTGGGCGCTGTCCCTCAGCTCTTCAGCTTAAGGATAACGCTCTATCACTTGAGTCCAGGGCCTCATGCATGCAAAGCAAGTGCTCTACCACTGAGCCACCTTCCCAGCCCTAACTCATCTTTTAATGTGGTATATCACATTGTTTAGCTATGAATACATTTCAGGGAAAATCCCATTTGGTCATGCATATGGTCCTTTCAATGTACTGTTGGATTCTGCTAGTGTTCATCTTGGATATTGGCCTGTACTTTATTCAGATTACACAATTCACCATAGACATTTATTTATTTTTGGTGCAGGTACTAGGGCTTGAACTCAGGGCCAGGGCATTATACCTGAGCTTTGTTATATTCAAGGCTACTGTATTACCACTTGAGTCACATCTCCACTTCCAGCCCTTTTTTTTTTTTTTTGGTGCTTAATTGGAGATAATAATCTCATGGACTTCCCTACTGGCATTGGCTTCAAAGTGAGATCTTCAGATTTCAGCCTCCTTAGTAGCTAGAATTATAGGCCTGAGACACCAGTGCCCAGCTACCACAGACAATTTTTGTTCTTGCTACGGATTAAACCCAGGGTCTTGTGCAAGCAAGCATTCTATCAATGAACTACACCCTTAGTCCCTCAGCCTTGACACTTTTTATTACACACTTCAAGAAAGAGTATGGGTGGTTTAGTTTCAAGTTCAGTAATCAATGGAAAACAAGTTTCACTGACTTGTGTACGGCAATACTACTGTCTTTACTTAGGAAGGATGATTTTTTTTTTTTTTACAAATGTTTATTCTGTATTGAATTCAGTGAGGAAAACTTGGCTGCCTGGGTCTTTACAAATCCTGAGAGTGGAGTAGGTTTGTTGAAGTCTGTTCTTCCCATCAGCTCTTAAAACTGGTTTCCATTATATTCATTAAAGTCATTACTGGAAGGAGTGCTCTTCCTGGCTCTGGTTTTGCATCTGTGTGTGCATGGGCTTACTCTAGCTATGTAGTTCTGTTTCCTAGAAATTAGCATTACAGAGTGGACTTATGATTTGGAATAGAAACAGTGTGTGTGTGTATGTACATGCCGGTCCTGAAGAGTGAACTCAGCCAGGGTCCTGTCCTTTAGACTTTTTGCTCAGCTTGACTTATGACTTGTGTGTATATGTGTGTGTGTGTGTGTGTGTGTGTGCGCGTGTGTGCGTGCTTAATTTGAGATCACAGTCTCATGGTCTTTCCTGCCCTGGCTGGCTTTGAACTATGATCCTCAGATCTCAGCCTCCTGAGTAGCTAGGATTATATATGTGAACCACCAGTGCTCAACGTAATTTTTGCTTTATAGAACCTTTTTTCCTCTTCCCATCCCTTCCCATCTCCCCTGCCCTCCCCCTCCCCTTTCCCCCCCTTTATAGAACATTCTTTAGTTCTACAAATATTGGATTAATATTTCATTTAAACTGGATGTTAAATGTAAAATGATGGGTCACATGTTTTTTCAGTGTCATTGGTGTTTACAGTATAGTGGGAAAGACTGATGTAAGCATAATGCATAAGCACCGAGATGATGAAATACTTGTCCAGGATATTCCTGAAACACTAAGGAAAAGCATCCAGAACAGCATGTTGGGCATGACTTAGGTAAGAAAGCCTTCTTAGATCAGGAACTAGTGAGGTAAATCTTAAGGGAAGGGGAGGAGATAAGTGGGTAAAGAATTGCATCATATGGAACAGATTTGAGGTTGCAGGAAGTATGAACCAAGTTCTCATGAGCATTCATGAAGGTGTGAGTGGTTACCACACCCACCTTGTTTGTTGAGGTAAAGTTTCTTTTTTTCCTTTCAATGTCTATTTAGCCTAGGCTGGCCTTCAACTTGAACATCTGCCTTCTAGATGCTCAGATTACAGGTGTTCACAGCCATACTGGACTGCTTACAGTGTCTTCTCAAGGAGGCAAGATACATGCTGATCTTTACATATTCTAAAGCTACTGGTGGTAGAGGGGATTAGGGATACATGTTCATCATGAAGCAGGAGGTAAGAAGGTTTAATGAGAAGAGAGGCAGTTTATGTTTGGCGCTTGAGCTGAATAATGGGGATAGCAGGGATTGAAGGTCCAGATAGGACACATGGCTAGACTCTGTAAAGTTGGAGAGCCGAAGCATGGCACAGGACTGGCCACTTTAAAATTTATTTCTAACTCCTGTGAGATGTCCAGATTTTGTATCTTCCCTGTTCCCTGTGGACCTAAGAGTCTTCAGGATGGTCTACAAACCATTGAAGTTACTCCATTTGCCTATGATTAAAAGCAATGAGATCTTAAAACTACATACTAGTCTAAGAACTAAAGTGTATGTTATACATCTTCCTAATTAATCTTATATTTCCCAGATTTTCACATATGAAGAAAACAAAACAAAAAATTGCAATAAAACTCTTGTGCTTTATTTTTATTTCTCTTGACCATAAAGATGGAAATAGGCTTTTTGAAAGTTTTGTGAACTTGATAAAGTTGTGAACTTAAAAAATTTATACTTTAGGGGCTGGGAAGGTGGCTCAGTGTTAGAGCACTTGCCTTGCATGCATGAGGCCCTGGTTTCGATTCCTCAGCACCACATGAGCAAAAATTAAAAAGCTGGAAGGGGCGCTGTGGCTCAAGTGGTAGAGCGCTAGCCTTGAGCTGAAGAGCTGAGGGACAGCGCCCAGGCCCAGAGTTCAGGCCCCACGACCGGACCCCCCCCCAAAAAATTATACTTTAGGTTGGCCAATTCAGATTAATAATAGTAACTTTTTTTCAGCAAGAGCATTTTCTACATACTTTTTCTCTTACCAAACATTGGAGTGGGATTCACTTAAGAGCACAGCTTTATGTTAGCCATGGGTGCACATGCACACACAGACGTCTACGTGCATACACATTCTGTAAGATAGAAAGCATATTACCAATTTTACAGGTCCAATCACGTCCTCATAAAATGTAAATTTGGGTCCTGTCATAGCACTGATAAGTGAAGTATTCAGACCAAGATTGTTAGAAGAGAAGAACTGCTGAATGTCCTTTCTTTGTGGTAATCCACTGCTGATCTCATGCAAATCAACCTGATTCCCATTTTCTTAGGTGAGTCTTCATGGGATTTCCAATGACACCTTTGCCATCAAGAACAAGTAATATAAATATACTATCTTTCTAAAGCAGCCATTCCCTCCTTTTTCTTCCCTCTCAAAATTCTCACTAAGATGTGCAGTTTCCACTGTGGACAGACAGCTGTCTTTTGCAGCAAAGAGGGAAGCTTGTTATTAAAATAGCCCAAGTATTACTCCAGCTGAAAAGAGTACTACTTCTACATTCCCTGTGCTACACGTAGTCCATGAGTTCTTGTTTTATTAATCATAAATAAAGTTGAGATCACCTACGCTTCAGCTGACTTCTCAGCTAAAGACTGAAGCAAATCCTTATAGAGAGTAGAGTTCATGAATCGAGGATACGAGTCTCTATGCATTAGGGTGTAAATCTGGAGCTGCGCATCATCAAATATATGCGAGGATGGCTCCCCAATATTTCTGTTGATGACTTCTCTTACTCGTGAATCCAGGCTGACCTGTCAATAGAAAACGAGTTATAGCCCATACTTTTTTGGTAAACCCATCCCAAACTCTCAGCTTGTTTTCCCTTAAAAGAAAAAAAATCAATGCTGGAAAGGAAATGTTCTCATTGCCTTACTCATGTAACTGTAACCCCTCTGTACAGTATCTTTACAATAAAAAATATTTTTTTAAAAAAACCAACCAAACAAAGTCATCTAAAAACTCAAACTGCCAAAAGAGAAACTAAAGCACCTAATGAGCGGGGATTCTGGGACTTAAGTGGAACCAGGAGTCCCTTGAGGGCTTGTTAGGCAGATTGCTGGGCTCTACCCAAGAGTTCTGACTCAGATCTTCTGGGTAGGAGCCAGACCTTTTATTTCTCACAAGTTCTAAGTGGTGCTGAAGAGGATCACGCTGCTTTGGAAAACTACAACATTGTTTTGCTTCTCTAAAATGAGTGTATGATGTCCTTTGAAGGAAAAACTTAGCATGCATGGCCTTATCCACTTGCTAATTTCCTAGTAATACAAATACTAAACTCAGAATACTGCCAGCTTCCGCCCAGCTAGAACTTGGGCACAGGTTTCTGGGAACCAGGCCCAAATCATAGGGTCTGAGAGCAAGTGAAGCATGGTTTTCAATACCAGCTCTGTCCCTTTAGAGTTGTGGGGCCCAGGGCAAGGTAAATATTGTAGTATTCATGTTATACATGAATTCTTACTAATGAACTCATAAATTGCAGGGTAGTTTATAAATTTCTGGTGAGGGTTTAATGAGAATTTACTTGAAGTGCTTGGGATACATCAAACCTCAAGGCAACGTCAGCTATTAGTCTTCTGATTTTTTGCTTATCCCAGACATTACTGTCATAGATGGGCAAATTACTGGGCTCAGACTTTTCTACAAGGACACCAAACAAACAAGAGTCAAGGCCAAAGCTGCTAAATGAATTCCATAGCTTTCCCTCTGAGTGAAAAGCTCAACTGAATAATTTTTTCACCAGCATGCCATTGTAGTTCTAATGCCATGAAATGCATATGCTACAGATACAGAACTGAAAATACAATCAACTAAGCCATTCATTTTTTTTTACATGTAGAATACAGTGATACAGCAAACCCAAGATATTGGAAACACTCCTAGCCACACCACCCAACTGGGTGGTCCTGCTTATCTTTCATTGTCCTCTGACTATGAGTCAGTCACAAAGTTCTGGTCTTACCCTTTTTTAAATTTTTTTTTTTTTTTGCCAGTTCTGGGCCTTAAACTCAGGGCCTGGGCATTGTCCTTGAGCTGCTTTTGCTTAAGGCCAGCACTCTACCACTTGAGCCACAGTGGCACTTCCATCTTTTTCTGTTTATGTGGTACTGAGGAATTGAACCTAGGGTTTCAAGCAGGCTAGGCAAACACTCTACCACTAAGCTACATTCCCAGCCCCAACTTTTATTTTTATTTTATTAGCTGTAGAAGAGAGTTTCCATATATGCACATAATGTGTCTAGATCAGACTCACTCCTTCCTTCTTTCTTCATCTCCTTCCCACTATTCAAACTAATTTCAGTAAGTTGCATAGTTCTATTTTCACATGTGCACATAAAGTATTTTGACTCATCCTCCTTCACCTTCTCTTGTGGCCTGTGCCCCTCCCCTTGGTACCTACATTCCACACATGATATGTTTCTCCTCCCTAATATTGATTATTAGTAAAGTTCCTGTTAATTGTTCAAGAGTTCCACCATGGCATCTCACATACATATTCTAAACTTCATTAAGACTGGTCCTACCTCTTTACCACATCTAACCTGCTCCATCATTATGGAGGCCAGTCATTATTTGCTGCTGGGTTTGTGTAGCATCTACCTAACTGGTCTAGAGCCAATGCTCGTGGTTCAAAGCCAGCCTGGATAAGAAAGTTTGTGAGACTTGGCTTTTTTTCCCCCTACCAGCCCTGGAACTGGAACTCTGGACCTGGGCACTGTCTCTGAGCTCCTTTTAGCTCAAGGCTAGTGCTTCTAACACTTGAGCCATAGTGCTACTTCCAGCCTTTTCTCTGATTAACTGGAGGAACAGCACCTATGCCTTGTATTCAAGCCTCAGGATACACACGCACACACACACACATACACACACACACACACACACACACACACACAGAGTTGTTTTGAAGCACTGGGATTTAAAGAAAGAAGGAGATAGCACTGTCTTGTTTTAATCCCTTGTCTGTCCTGCCTGAAGAAATCTACTTAGTCTTCAGGTCTTGGTGTAAATGTCACTCCCACCCTGAAGGAGGCCAAGCAGCCTTTCTTGTACCTGCCACTGAGCCTTCTGTGGTAGCACACCTCACTAAACAAGTCCCACCCTAGGTTAGAGGATTGCAATCAGGGAGCCCTGCAATGGGGGAAAAGTTCACTTTGTAAAAAACACTAAAAACGATTCTAGTTCATAAACAGATAAAGCACAAATAGAACCTTTTTTTTTAATATAACCTCCCATGGAATCTGTCCTTGCAAGTGTTCTGTGGAGACAGCTCAACCAAGGCCACTGGGTAATATGTTCATAAATGAAAACAGAAGATTTTGAAAACTCCATCTTTGGTGTCCCTCCTCACTATATTGAAAGTATGTCTTCCCTGCCAGTCCTACAAATCCACCTCAAACCCACCCTGCCCCTGTCTAGTTTTTCTTCTGTTACCTTTTTTTTTTTTATCATGTTAGACATAGAGGACTGAATTCCTCTTCTAACCATCCACTGCCTCTTTTCTCCCAATCCATCTTTCTTTTAGAACTCTAGATTTGAGCATATAAACAGTCTAAAATCCTACAGCCTCACATGCTCAAACTCAGAAAAACCTCAGCATGGCCTCTATACCTCAGATCAATCCTTTTCTAAGTTTGGTACAGTTGCCTGCCACAGCCCTAATAGTTTGGGGATCACCCTACATTTGAGGCCTAAAAAACTGCTTCTACTTCACCATTCATAATAATACAGTACTGCTTCGGGTACTGTCCTCTGGGAATTGTTTCATCTCCTTTGGTTTCTGAATATGTCCTTTGCATTGGTTGATCTTCACCCTCACTGGGTATCTTGCCTTCATTCTTATCACCCCACTGGAGATAGCTCTCTCCACCAACCCTTCTTGGCTGTTGGCCTACTTCTCTGTGAGCTGCTTGACAAGAGAGGCTCTACTTTATGAACTTCCATTCTGAGAAATCACATGGTAGGAGAGAACAAATGACTTTAAAATTAGAGCTACAACACACCCAATAATGAGAATAACACCACCTTTTACATTTTACATAACACAACTTCTTACATTTTACATACGTAAGATTTTACATTTGAAAAAACTTAAACTCTCAGAGGTGGAAACCTGGCCATTCTCACCCCTTGGGCATTTTTTTTTCTCATATAAGAAAGGAGAACAGTTGGGCACCACTGGCTCATGCCTGCAACCTAGCTGCTCAGGAGGCTGAGATTTGAAGATCATGGTTCAGAGACATCCTGGGCAGGAAAGCCTCTGAAGTTCTGACCTCCAATTAACCACCAAAAAGCAGGATACGATGCTATGGCTCATGTGGTACACAAGGCTCAGGGATAGTGTTGAAGCCCTGAGTTAAAGCCCCAGAACAGGCACAAAAAAAAAAAAAAAAAACGAAAGAAAGAAAGGAGGCCATGGGGAAATCTCTGAATCAGTGTGCTAAAAATGGTGTGATAAAAAACAAAACAAAACATACCTGTAAAAAACAACTTAGCTCAGAGTGAGGAACCAAGAAATGTCCATATAGCTTTGTTTTGTTTTGGTCTGTCATGGGGCTTGACCTCAGGGCCTGGGCTCTTTCCCTCAGCTCTTCTGCTCAAGGCTAGAGTTCTACCACTTTGAGTCACAGCTCTACTTCCGGTTTTCTGGTGGATAAGCATCTCATGACTTTCCTGCCTGGGCTGGCTTTGAACCTCGATTCTCAGATCTCAGCCTCCTGAGTAATTAAGATTACAGGCACAAGCTACCAGCACCCCTGCTGACTATAATTTTTTATAATATTTTTAAGTAGTACTAAAAGTGGGAATGGATGTAGCTTGGTGGTGGAGAACTTGTCTAGCACTTATGTGGCCCTAGACTCATCTGCATCATTATAAAAAATCAAAATCAGTACCAGTATTAAAATTGTATAGCTAGATACTCATGAGTCATGCCTGAGATCCTACAACTCAGGAGGCTGAGATCTGAGGAATGCAGTGTAAGCCAGCCCAGGCAGGAAAGTCCATGAGAATCTTATCTTCAATTAACCAATAAAAAGCTGGAAGTGAAGAGGTGGTTCAAATGGTAGAGGCTTAGCTTTGAGAGCAAAAGCTAGGTTACAGTGCCTAGGCTCTAGGCCCTATGACTGGCACATAAAAACAAAAGGAAATAGATAAAATAAAGTGTATAAACCTTCTCCTGAACTAGACAAGCTGATGAAAATTATGATTACTTATTCCAGAAAAAGATGCACAAAATCCTTCATATTTTTCTGGAGTCTCTTGGCACCCATTTGTGGGAGCACATCAAGGGCTATGGGGCAGACTCGTTGCTCTGTTTTAGAGCAACCCTAACTATACAAGGAGAACACAAGCAGATATGGAAGGGGAAACTTTACCAAGGGCTCCTGGGAGAGACCTTTTGTAGGCACCAACCTCTTTAGGAGAAAGAATAGAAATATAGTCTTCATATATTATCCTTGCTTTCTCCTCAATAATGCTTTTATTAGCTTCCTTTTTCAGTTCTTCACAGGCCAGCCAGAAAAGCATATTTTCTTCACTGAATTCTGTTCGGAGGAATTCCCGGAAAGCATTTCTTCCCGCTGGAGTGATCATGAGGTTGTCAAATGACTGAGCCCAGGCGCTGACTTCTTCCAGGGTAGGAGTGGGACTGAGGGGGGGGCCAAAAAAGGAGGACAAAAGGAAGCTGTTATTGGTAGTTCATTTGAGCTTTAAACTAGAAAAAAAATCTTTCTTCTCATTAAAAAAAAAAGTATACATTTTGGAAAGGAAAGTAGTTTTCATTCCATTAAACCATTGGCAAAAAAAGAAAAAGCACATGAGTACAGTACTCCTAATGGCTCAGCTGGGTTGCCCAGCTACTACCACATATATAACATCAGGACACATCTGGCAGTACTTCTAAATTATAGGTGAAAATTTCTACAACTACCTGACTCCCCTAAATACCCTAGTTCTACAACGGAACAAAGTCAGACTAAATCACTAAACCTCCAGAACAATATCTAATACTTAAAAAATATGGTGTAACATTTAAGAAAATAGGGAAGACAATATGTAATAGAAATGCAAGTTAGGAAGGATGAAAACAAAATGAACCATTTACTTAAGAATTGGAGCATTACGCACAAAAGTTCACTTGTTATTGTGTGTGTGTATGTGTGTGAGAGAGACAGAGACAGAGACACAGAGAGAAATAGAGAGAGAGAGAGCGTGCCAGACCTGGGACTTAAACTCAGGGCCTAGGCACTGTCCCTGAGCATTTTTGCTCCAAGCTTGTATACTATCACTTGAGCTATAGCTTTACTTCCTATACGTGTCACTTCTACATGCTACCTCACTGCCCGATCCCCAAGGGAACTATCTAACTAAACTTTTAGACTTAACATCTTGTTTTGCTTCTATTTTTTTCTACACTGAGCCAGGTGCAGTGGGGTGTACTCTGTAATCTCAGATATTCAGAGGCAGAGATTGGGAGGATTGAGGTTAGAGGTAGCCCAGGCTAAATGATAACCAGAGCCTATCTCAATAAATAAGCAGGATGGAGGCATGTCTTAAGTGATGAAGCGCTTGCTTAGTTAAATAGGCTCTCACTTCAAACCCCAATACTGTAAAAATAGGGAGGGAGAGGGAGGGAATGAGGGAAGGAGAGAGAAAGAGAAAAGAGGGAAGGAAAGAGAGGGATGGAGAGAAGAAAAAGATAGGAAGGCAGGTAGGCAGGCACACAGGAAGAAAGGAAGGAAGGAAGTAAGAAAGGAAGAAGGAAAGACAAGGAAAAATGAATTTAAAAAAAAGAAAGAAAAGATTTCTTTAAACTGAGTAGTGGCTCAAACCTACAATTCTAGCTACTTGGGAAGCAGAGATGTTGGTTGTACCAGACCAAGCATAAAAGTATTTGAGGCTCCTACTCTATCTGTACCAATGGCTGGGTACAATGGCATATGCCAGTCATGCACAGCAATATGGGGATGCACGAAAAGAATAAAGTGAGACTCTACCTCAAAAACAAACAATTCTCCAAGGAGCTGGTAGTGGCTTTCAGGTTGTAAAGTGCCTATTTAAGTGTTAAATACTGAATTAAAGACACAGTATCTCTCTCTCTCTCTCGCTCCCTCTCTCTCTCTCTCTCTCTCTCACACACACACACTAAAAACAAGGGGATTGTGGTGACACACACATGCTTCTGATCCTAGCTATAGGGAAATAATAGGAGGATCACAATTCAAGCTAGTCTAAGTAAAAAGAACAACTATGCAAATCCAAGTACACCCACAAAAACAAAGAATTGTATTGAAATCATAAAAGCCTATTTAATAGTGATCCTTAATATCTCTCTTCAGTTACCGCCCCCCTGCCCCCATTTTGACATATGTTTGTGACTCTAAAGAATGAATTATTTAGGTTTTTTAAAAAATAATTTTAGGGCTGTGAAGTTGGCTTAGTGGTAGAGTGCTTGCCTCGCATGCATGAGGCCCTAGGTTCTATTCCTCAGCACTACATAAGCAGAAAAAAGTTGGAAGTGGTGCTGTGGCTCAAGTGATAGGGTGCTAGCCTTGAGCTGAATTGCTGAGGGACAGCACCCAGGCCCAGAGTTCAGCCCCCACGATTGACAAAAACAAATAAATAAATAAATAATGTTATTCTTATTGGTTTTTCTTAACTTTATAAAAATGGCTTATGCTATTTTATGTTCTGCAGCCTGCTTTGTTCACCCAAAAATTTCTCAGGTTCACCCATGTTGTTTTGTGAATAGAATCTGACACTCATTGTCTGTTCTACCTCATTGGGTTTTGTCATCAGTTACATCAGCATTTTGGGTGATTGGGTAGTTATGTCAAAGTCCTGTATTCTTGGAATGATCTATTTGTGGAATATTAGTGGAGCTAGCCTGCCTGAATACAATGTTTATTCTGTAGAAAGGTGTTATAGATTGCATTGTGCCCTTCCCCATGGAAGGGCTTGATGTAGTCCTCTCCCCGAATGTGACCCTATTTGGAAATGGAGGTCTTTGCAAACTTAACCAAATTAAGATGAGGTCTTGAGGTGAGTCCTAGTCTTGAATGCCTGATAAACTTATTAAATGGAGGAAGACTTGCCTACACAGGCACAGAGAGAAGTTGCTTTGGGGATGCAAGGGGAAGTTGCCTGGAGATGTATGTATAAGCCAATGACAGGCCAAGACTGTGGCAACCATCAGAAGCCAGGAGAGGTGAGGAAAGGCTCTGCCCTACAGCCATCAGTGTAGAGGAAGCTCTGCCTTGTTACCACCTTGATTTTCAACTTCAGCCTTAGAACCCTAAAACTGGATTTCTGTTGTTTTAAGTTACCCAGGTTTGGGTACTTGGTTATGGCTTTCCTAGCAAACTAATTAAGAAGGCTATGAATTGCTGATATAATGTCATATTTATGGAATGATTCTGACCTTTCTTCTAGAATGCTTTAGTAACTTCCACATACTTAGGAATGTGCTCTGGGTGTATTTATTATCAATGTTTGCTGTTGTAACTTGTTCCTGTTATTCTCATATTGTTTTTCTCTGCTAGGCATTACCTTTCCATTTCATCTCTCCATTGTTTTGTTGTGTCTTCCCTTTATTTTAGAACAATCACCACAGAGGATGCATAAGAATTAGGTTTTGCCTTGATCTTTTCCATTGTATTTGGTATTTTTCTTTTCTTTTCTGTTCTTCCTTTCCTTTCCTTTTCTTCTCTGCCTCCCTTCCTTCCTCTCTCCCTCTCTCCCTTCCTTCCATCCTTCCTTCCTTCTTTCCTTCCTTTCTTTCTTTCCTTCTTTCTTTCCTCCTTCCTTCCTTTCTTTCTTCCTTCGTACCTTCCTTCCTTCCTTCCTTCCTCCCTTCCTTTCTTTCTTTTCCCTTTTTTCTCTTCTCTTATTTTCTTTTCTTTCTTCTGTGCTTGAATTCAGGATTAGGAGTTGTCCTTTACTTGACTTTTTCAACATAGGCTGGTGTTCTGCCACTTGAGCTACAGCAATATTTACAACATTTTGGTGAGATAAGGGTCTCATGGGTGTTCCTGCCCATGCTGTCTTTGAACTAAAACCCTCAGATCTCAGCCTCTTAAGTAGCTACAAGCACCTATATGACTAAAAGTTCCATAGACCAGCTTTCTTTTTCCTTATTTTTTTTTAGTTTCTTATTTTGGAGGTCAGAAAGCATATTATATTTAATAATAATTCTAGGAATGTATTAAGATTCTTTATAATGCCAGTCTTTGTGGTGTACACCTGTAATCTCAGAACTAGAGCAGCTGAAGCAGAAGGATTGCTCAAGTTCCAGCCAGCCTGAGCCACTTAGCAGGACCCTATCTCAAAAATTCTGTTTGGAGGATTAGGTAGAAGTGAGGTCTTATGCAGGCAATCCACAGGCAAAAATATGAGACCTTATCTGAAAAAAGAGCTGGGGACATGTCTCAAGTGGTAGAATGCCTGCCTAGCAAGTGCAAAGCTTGTATTTAAACCCCAATCAGCCAATCAACCAATCAACCAAAAACAAAAACAAAAAAAACAAAACAACAAAAAAAACAGGCATAATAATGGTTAAGGGAAACCAGGCTCCAGTGGCTCAAACTTGTATTCATAACTGCTCAGAAGACTGAGATCTGAGGATGGAGCTTCAAAGCTAACTGGGGTAGAAAGTTGTAAGATTCTTATCTCCAATTAACAACAACAACAAAAAAGCCAGAACTGGGGCTATGATCCATTTGGTAGAGCACCAACCTTGATCAAAAAAGCTTAAGTATACCTGGTATGGGAGGCTCATGCCTGTAATCCTAGCTACTCAGAAGGCTGAGATCTGAAGATCACAGTTTGAAGCCAGAAGGAAAATCTGAGACTCTTTTTTTTTTTATAAAGATGCTGTACAGAGGGGTTACAGTTACATGAGTAAGGTAATGAGTACATTTCCTAACCAGCACTGATACCCCCTCCTTTGTTTTTTCCAAACTGTCCCTTCCCTCCCTACCTTCCCATCTCCTCCCTCCCCTCTACTCCCTACAGACTCTTATCTCCAACTAAATTACAGAAAAACCCAGAAGTGGTGGTAGAAGTGGTGATACTGTGGCTCAAGTGGTAGAGTGCTAGCCTTAAACAAAAAGAGCTCAGGACAGTGCCCAGACTGAGTTCAAGCATCAGGAATGACAAAGAAAGAAAGAGAGAGAGAGAGAGAGAGAGAGAGAAGGAAAGAAAGAAAAGAAAGGAGGGAGGGAGGGAGAAGGGAAGGAAGGAAGGAAGGAAGAGAGGGGGAAGGGGAGGGGGAGGGAAGGAAGGGAAGGGAAAAGCTAAGTAAGAATAAGAGCTCCTGAGTTCAAGCTCCAGTACCATTCCCACCCCAAAATACAAAGAGTAGTTAAGAGAAAGTAGGATACAAAATTTGGCATCAGAATAACTTATATATAGTTTCAAAATGTTTAAAAATTTTAAAACAAGCCAGGCACCTCTGGTTCACTTCTGTAATCTTAGCTGCTCAGGAAGCTGTAATTTGAGTATTATGGTTTGAAGCCAGTCCTGGCAGGAAAGTCCTTAAGACTTTTTTTTTTTTTCAGTCATGGGGCTTAAACTCTGGACCAGAGTGCTATACAGCAGCTCTTCAGCTCAAGGCTACTGGCCTACCACTTGCGCCACAGTGCCACTTCTGGTTTTCTGGTGGTTTATTGGAGATAAAAGTCTTATGGACTGTCCTACCCGGGGTTGGCTTTGAACTGTGATCCTCAGATCTCAGCCTCCTGATTATCTAGGATTACATTCATGAGCCACTGGCACCAGCTGCATTAAGACTCTCTTCTCCAATTAACCATGGGGGAAAAAAGCTGGAAGTGTAATATCTCAAGTTATAGAGTTCTAGCCTTGGGCAAAAAAGCTCAGAGGGCCTCGAATTTAATTCAAGAACTTAAGGAACTAAGGAAAATTAAATAAAAACAATACTTTAACAATTTAATATAGATTTACAATTAGAAATGGAATCACAAAACCTTTCTGAAGAACAAATATGTTTCATGATGGACTTTTATTTTAAAAGTGATTTACATAAAAATAAAATTACATCATTATAGTTTGTCAAGAATTTTCTATTTATATTTGTGATTAGCAAATTTCTCTCCCTGTTACACAATGAATTAAAAGAAGTTCTGCAGGGGGAAAATGTTATGTCATATTGAGATTTAATGCTACTAAATTGTAAAGAAATTGTGTATTTTACTGAAACATAATGCAATAAAACCCCCAAAATGCAACCCTTCTGAGAAACAAACAAAACTTGGAAAGGTTTGTATTTCTGTTAGTTTCCTGAGTTAAAAATGCGAGACTTTACCTTTCCTCACAGATTGGAAAGTCTGTCCTGACTTCATGGGAAGTTCCTGTGGGTCTCTGGTTTCTCACTGTGAGGCTGCAAGAAACAGACATTCAGTGTTAAGATCAGCTGCAGTCAAAACACGAATTTTCTTTACAAATACTTTAAAGAGAATCGCCAATCTTCAACTACTGTAGAATTTATCTTTCCCTTCTTTCCTTCTATTTCTTCCTTCCTTTTTCTTTCTTTCTTTTTTTTTTTTTTAGGTTTTTTTTGGGTCCGGTCGTGGGGCCTGAACTCTGGGCCTGGGCGCTGTCCCTCAGCTCTTCAGCTCAAGGCGAGCGCTCTACCAC